ATTTCTTGTCTTTTCTTCTCCTGTTATTTACCTGAAAACAACAAGGGATAAAAAAAAGAATAGGCTGAAGGAACAAGAAGATTGGCTTGCTTAAACAATCAATTATCAGCATCCATTAGAGAATCTACCAGTGTACTCGGTGTTACAGATTCTGCCCTAATGAAACCAGTGTACTCGGTGTTACAGATTCTGCCATAATGAAACCAGGCTGACACAGATGAAGGGCTCTCCTTATCGATTTGCGTGTCTGATATCAATTCACAAGCTGATAGATTGAATCAAATCCACAGGTTTTGAGAACCTGTGCATTGCTCGCATGAGGAATTGATAGAAGGAAGAAAGAACACAGGACTAAAGCTGTAACAAGGTGGTAGGCATATCTCAATCTTGTGTCAATAAAACAAGAACAAAATCAAAGTATATCCTTTCAGCTTTACTCTGTGAACATAAACTCCACCTTCCTTGTCCCTACAGGCTAAGTTTTAGTATTATCAGTGCCACAAGGTTGGGATGATTTTTGTACTATGGAAATGAAATTAATTTTGAGTTAGAGAGGAATTCAATAGTTTCGCCATGCAAATCCAAAGGCACTTTGTTTAGAATTTGATGAATTAACAGGCTATCTATCTATTAGATTTTTTTATTGATAATTAAATTGTAATAACTCTTATGATTTATTAGACTACCCAATCTTGAGTTAGATAAGAATTCAATAGTTCATCAGTTATTTCTGCGTATAATTTAAATCAGATTATTAGACTATTCAATTTTATGTTATATATATATATTATCGTCATCTTGAAATTTTTTTGGTAGGACCCGGAGGAACAGCCCATCCGTAGGTTTTCAGGGAGATGTGTCTTATCAGTAACTTTCAGAGGAAGTTCCTGAAGGAACGAACATGCAAGAATAGTCATAGTTTGGCCAATATAGGAAACCAAACCCATGAACAGAGTCAAATTTCCAGGCGCAAACCGAGATTTTACAAGAGGAGACATGGATGCCATTAGAGCAGAAAGTTGATTGGCTAGGAATGACTAAATTAATATATAATAATGTAATATTCAGAGTCTTAGTCGTGCATGTAGCATGAATATTTTTTTTCTTTAAAAAAAGTCTTTTCAAAAACGAAATTAACGTTAATCAGGACAATACCACTTGAAAAGCTTACTGTATATGTGAATATGTACACACGTTATCAACATTTTTGTCGCTTTGCTCGGAGTTGGGGCAAAGAGGAGTCATGTCATTTATATTTAACATATAATGTAATGTTAATGATAAAATACATCATGCTAATATTTATGTGAAGCTATGTTTTATTTAATATATTGATAAACATTTATCAACCTGGAATTTTAACATGCGTCATGTTCCATTATTTCATAATCAAGCTAGCCTAAAAAAATAAAATCAAACTTCATAGAATCAGGCAGGGCATTGAAGCTCTGGTAAGATGTCATCAATGATCCACAATGCCATGTATTGGTATGCCTTTTCGGTCAACTGAACTCCGTCCCAGCTGATATACCGATCAGGTTCAGGGCAAACGGGCACACCAGGAGTTCCACACATTTTCAAGGCATTGAAACCATAATCACCGCCAGTCCCGCAACAAGCCTTCTGAACAGACTTGGCATCAAAACCTGTTCATGTTAAAGAAAGAATTATATGTAAGTCTACTGGATAGTCTTTTTGTGTTTTTTGAGGGTCTAAAGATGCTAACCAAGGTTTGGAGCTTTGGTAAGAATCCATTGGAATGCGTTGTAATAATCAGCATATGCAATGAGCACATTAGGGTTTTCCTTCTTCAATTCTTCTATGGCTTGTTTGAGATGATCATTGTGGGAAGCAGAGAGATTGTTAAGTCCTTTCAGGCAGTGAAATTTGTCGTAGGCATCCGTACTGTTGGTCTGAAATCCAGTAAGATAGATAGGAAAACAACCTATTGGGACATTTCCAGGGACAACCACGCGTCTAGCGCCATAACCAATAACTCTCTGCAACAGCAAGAATTAACATTAGAAGATAGAACAAGAACTTCTGATATCATGTAAGGAACCGATTAGCGTACCGTCACCGCATCTTTGATGGCTTGAACAACATCAGGGACCATGTTTTTTACCTCCTCCATGATTTTGCCTTGGAAAAAAGCATAGGTATAGTCATTGACTCCAATCTCTCCGACCATGAAGAGGGAGTTTTTAAGTTTTTCAGCGCAATCTATACGTCAAAGGTTACAGAACAGATGAGAAATTATGCGTAGTCTGAAAGAGACATATTGCACAACTACCAATCAATTACCTTGCTCATTGAAACAAATTGAATTGAAATAAGAGAACATCCAGTCAAGTTGTACACTAAGAGAACTACGAGTAGGAGGAAAGATGTTCTTTTTTGATAGAATATCTGCAGGCAAGGCAGTAGAGCTAGCAACTGCAAAATTCACTCCATGGCCGCGAGTGAATGTTCCATTTGGATTCAAGTGAGCATCAAGAAATGGAACACCTGCTGAACTTGCTGCAAAGGGCAAAGGGAATTTAGCCCGCCACTCAGAACTAAAGAAGTGCAAACATCACATAAACAACAGGCAAATCTTTCGATCCTTTCCTTACCGATAAAATCAATAATCAGCCTCCCATTTGAGCATCTACCGGTAGGTTTGTTGAAAAAAGTTTCCCCATAAGGAAACCTAGCATACACAGATGAAGGTTTCTCCTGGATGAAATTGCCAGTGTCCGATATCGAATCACCCAGCTGATAAATTGCATCAAACCCACAAGATTTCAGAGATTTTGCATTGGATGCATAAGGGAGCACTGCTACAAGGAAGAGAGAACTAATCAGGACCGAAGCTATAATAATTTTACTGTTAGCCATAGTCCAACAACTTATGAAAACAATGCTAGAACAAAAGTTGGCTGAGGCAGGATGTGTGAAATCAAAGGTTCATGCATGTGTTATTTATAGTAACCGTAACTTACAGGATTTGATGTAGAATCCAATCAGTCGCAAGCTTATTTGCTCTGTAAATCCTGAATTTAAATTCTTTTGATGAAAACGAAGAGTTTGGTGATGCAATCTAGACCGCCATGCAAAAGAGAATAACACAGTCAACGCGCTATCATTTGCTTGTCGTTTTTGCCGGAGGGATCATGCCAAACTTTTGTATACCTTTCCTATTTAGAAGGGTCGGATATTTGCTTATATGGTGGCGCTGCCGGTGCCTCTGGAGTTTCTTTTCTAGGTTCTATTTTGTGTGCTTGTCCTTTCCAAAGTACCAAAAAGTAATCATCCGCTTGATTTTTCCTTCCATGAAAGCTACTTGGGGCTGCAGTAAGGAAAAAATATATTACTCCAGAGTATCTACCATTTCGTAACATATTCAATTAAATTAAGTTATTACCTCAAACAACTAAATAAACTGGATTCTTTTTTATGGACAATGAAACTCTTTTCTTTATTTTGCATTTCCTCATCTTTCTTCTTCCCAGTAACTCTTCAACATTTGTTTAATTTTTAATATATTTTTATAAACTTTTTAGGGTAGTTTTCTATAAACAGATGACAGTCTTGGAAAAAAAATCTTGATATTTGATTTATATTTAATTTTATAAATATTTTTTGTTATTATATGATTAAGTAAAAATTATTTTTTAAAAAAACAATTCTTAAACTCATTAGAACTTATTACCTGGATCATGAATTTAATGCGTTAAGTTGTGAAATTCGGGTCGATTCAACATATTATCATTTTAATATTAAAAAAAAAAATATTTTTATTTTTTTTAAGTGGAATCATATTTTTTTATTAATTGTTTTGGCTGTTTTTTTTTTTTTTAACTCTTATCATGTTAAGAGAAATCTCACACCGTTTAATTTGAAATTTAAGCAGCTAGAGAGTTGGATTATGAGATTTCAAGATTAATTACATAGACTATATTTAATAATAATATCAAATAATTTTATATTATCTAGACATGTTTTATGTTATTTTTTTTATTTGAACCACATTATAACCCTGTAAACTAGAAAAAACTAATTGATATATCATATTAAATTGATATAGGTTATTTAGAACCAATTATCTATTATAACTAAATTCAATTATAATATTTAATTTGAATTTAATTGATAAATAAGTTAAATTTCATTGTTTTGTCTAGAAAAAATAGAATTCAATTCATTTTGTTTTTTATATTAACATCATCACTTTGATTATGTCAAACTTTATTTTACAGTGATTATATATCATATTAAATTGATACAATTTCTTTTTTGTTTTTCTATATTAGCTGTATCAAACGTTATTGTAATTTTCACCTAATAAATGTGGCTTAATTAAAGTAGATGAAATAAGAAATTGAGCATTAAGTTTCCTGTTGCCTTGTGCATAGTCATCATCAAAGCAAAACGAAAGAGTAGGATCCCAAGTGATTTTAAAACTGTTTTAGCATCAATTTGAAACTTTTTAGATGATATTAAAAATTAGAAAATATCTAAAATACATCATACAGTTTCAATTGAAAATTTCTTATGCAAAAACACTTTAGTGTATTTAGCACAATCCCCTAATCTGTTTCGTCCTAAATGAGAGGTGGGTGACTGAGCTAGACCACTTGTTTGACAAAGCTTTTAGAACTGCAACCCTTATTCATGGCAAAGCGAGTTTTATCACTAGGCTTTAGCATCCTCTACAATGCGTTAATGGGATAAGCAGAGATCAAGTGATAATAGCAATGAACTTGACCAGCTCAGACCAATTCTGTAAAGCTGCAGTCAATTGATGCTGCGTAGAACAAAATCCACTTAGCTGGTGACTGATCATAAGAGTTGACTGTTGAGAAGCAAACCATGGCAAAGCAGAAAGCAGGAAACCACCTACCCTAGAAGAATTTCAATGAAAATCATATTCCGTTAGCCATGCATTCAAATCACTACAGTACTCGGATTTCAAATACTATGAATAAATTCAGAGGACGCACGTTGTAAAAGATGGCTTGAGCAAAACCCAGATTTTCTTAATGGCAGGGAGGGTCTTAATTTTGCAGTAGCAATATTGCAAAAGCACCACCTCAACAACAAAATTATAAAACATTTAACTCAGTAAATGTGCCATCACTTGATCAAACAAAAAAAAATGAAAAGGGTTCAATCTAGGCAGCAACATAATCGAGGCTATAAGGCCTAAACTTCAGTCTTCTTCCTCTCCCTCGTTCTCAGCAATGTTGAAGTATCTCAACTCATAAACATTGCGATCTTTGTTGGATGAAATCACTCGTAGCCAATCCCTAACATTATGTTTCTTCAAATACTTCTTTGTCAAGTACTTCAGATACCTATTATACACAGAACAAAATCAGGAATCATGTGAAATAGGGCACAAAGCCGTGATAGTGCTGTTGGCACAGATTGTGACAACTTCGGCTAGAAGTTAGGAGAAAAAATTGAATGATTTATGGCAACCTCTACAAACAAAGCAAATTGAGAAGGAATAGAAACTCAAAAGTCCATGTTCTAGTGAAACAAACAGGCTTCATGCAAAATCAAATGCTAGTTGTGAAGAACATAACTATTTAGTTGTCAAGTTTTCCACTCCACTAAACCGGCCCGGGTCGTACAATGCAACACTCGTCCAAGAAAAATACAAGCAATGTTATCAGAGCAAAAAAAGCACCGTGCTCTGTACAAAACTCGTTCATAAAATAGAATGTGAAGCAAGACAAAACACCTAATCATCATAATCCCTGAATGCCACAACAAGCTGGAACCACCTCCTTTCTCCTACGAAACTCTAGTTTCACTTATAGAGTACCTAAGACTTCTGCTATAAAACAAGCCATCCCCACTATTTCCGACCATTTATATGATTAGCATCCACAGAATCAAATCAACTAGAAAACAAAGAAACCATTCACTAAAACTAGAAACAACAAAACAGTAACAGTACCAAACGGTTCCTGAACCATTAAAGAAAGCAGCAAATCCCACAATTCTGGAATCACAAAAAGTACCGCTAAGAAATTAATATCTCAAGCAAACCAGGAAAACAAAAAATAACAAATTATACAGCAAGACAACAAAAGGGTTTACCTTTTGGAGAAGTTGCTGTCAGAAGTGACAGTAATCTTGCTCTTTTCACGTGAAACAGTAACAGTGTCACCGAGAGCACCAGCTTTGCCTCCAACTTTGATCCTCTCTTGAAGAAACTTCTCCAATGACGCAATGTCCATAATCTTGTCCTCCACTGGCTTTGCACAATCTATCGTGAAGGTTACACCTTTCTTCTTCCCTTTGGCTCCTGATGCTGTTGCCTTACTCATCTTTGATCAATCTCTAACATCAAAAGCACAAGATAAACAAAAACAAAAGCATAAGTAAAGAAAAAAAAAAAGCTAAGCTTTTATGCTAATGTAAGAGAAGAATAAAAAGTAGAGAGAATTACCGGTGGCGTCTGTGGAGGGAAAGAGAAGAGGCGGCGTCTGTGGGAAGAGGAGCACAGACTAGGGTTTTGGCTTATAACGGGTCGCTTTTTTTATTTTAACTGTAAAGTCTAAGCTGCTGTTTAGTCCTTGTATTTGTTAGACATTCCATTTCGGTTCCTAATGTTTAAGTATCTCAATGTTGGCTTTTTGTTATTACGGGTTAACAATTTTAGCCTCCTCCTATATTTTTGTTTAATACTGTGGTGTGGTTTTTTTTTAAATATATTAAAATAATATTTTTATTATTTTTTTTAAATTTATTTTTAAAATTAATATATTAATATATATATATATATATATAATTTAAAATTAAAAAAATATTTTTGCACTGGCTTGAAGTATGGTACTTTGAAACATTGCTTTTGTGTCTTGAAGTATGATAACTTTGTATATTTGTCAAATCTGATATGATGACCGACGTGAAACATGGCTTGGAAATCATAAATGGATCAACAAATAAATTATTAGGTTAATTACTTTTATTAAAATAATAATATTTTGTTTCTAATTATTTTTATTAAAATAATAATATTTTGTTTTTTTTTCCTTGATTGATGGCCTGATTTAAACCAATTTTCACTGGGTTAATTTAATTACTTAGAAACTTGTCAGGTCAAATCATTTTTTTCGAATCAATGAATTTAATCAAATTAATATCTTGTCTAGCATAACTAGAAACCCTTCTTGTATCAGAGTAGAATGTTGGAATAACTATAGGAGCCAAACGTAGTTGATTTTATTTTTTTGGAAATAAAATTATTAAAATTAAATGAATCATCATTAAATTCTATTTTAAAATCATATGATTCAATAGCTTACGATTTTCTTTTGAGATAGAATCCATTAAACAGATCTCACATTAAAATAATGATTCAATAACTCATTCTCCTTAAACAACATCCTAATCGTCCCATCATCGTTTTTGTTTTCTGTTCTTCTAAAATCTGTTTTCATAATCTTAAAAACAGAAAACGATGGCAAACCAGAAAACCTTTAATAATGCTAAAAAAAACAAACCAAACCAAAACACTATACAATTCAAGCAGTCTGGTGCTAAACCAAAACATCATACTTCCCAAACAGATCGGTTGTATCCATTTGCCGGATGCAGTTCTGAATAAAAGTCTCAGGCAACCAAATCTGCAGGTCTTTGTAAGTATGGAACCATGTCTAGAGAAAGACTGTAAAAAGCGGCCGCCTCTGCCCTTGTTTTTCTTAAGAATGCAGTACCTGTTCTATAATTCTATCACCTTCAAGCGCGAACCAGGAAGCTACAACATATATTACTGTTTAGAAAAGCGCGAACCAGGAAGCTACAACACATGTTACTGTTTATATACATTATGCAAGCTAGGGTTCATAAAAAATTATATTTTTATATATTTTAAACCGTTTTAATACATTAATCTCAAAAATAATTTTTAAAAAAATCATTTTAATATATTTTAATATAAAAAACAACCACAATTATACTTTCAAAACAGCCACTAAATATATAACCACGGGTCAACAACCATTATTAACTGCAGCAGGCTGCTAACAATTCTTAACATAATTTTCAATTAAAAAATAACTAAGAATCAATGAAACCAGTGATTGATTGGATTGCTAATGGTAAGGTCATCATAGTAATCCACTCATCCACCACTTATCCCTCTCTAGTAGAATCTGTAATCGTATTTCTTTAGGAGTACAATTGAAAACAAATCATTTTTCACTTCATTATCTAATGGATTTTGACTGTGCTACAAAGCAGGTATTCAGTCAACCCAACTACAACCAAAAGATAAAAAGGAACAAAACTAATGCCCATTCAAGGAAATATTGTTGTTATTAACTTTCAGTGGAGGACAGAAAGGTATGCTGTATCTTGAATGTATTAATCCTTGTGTGGGACAAGCTCTGCATATCGATCAGCCTTTCCTCCCGAGTTATGGTCATAGTATTCAACCAAAGCAGCACCAGCTAATGCAGCCAGGGTGAGAGCCTGTGCATGCAACCTGAATTCCAATTGGATGAGCACAAGGTTAACAAGGCAAAAGTAGAAACATAAGAAATGTAAAAGGATATATTAGAACATCAAACTGTATATGAACAAGGCAATCCGGAAGAAGGCACGTAGAGGGCATCAGAGAGCGATAAAAAAATCATTTACCCATGTGGAACATGAAAATTTAACACTGGAAGGCACAATGAGGAAAACATGCTCCATAGACTGTTTATTGGAAAGAATTACAATTAAAAACTCCGAAAAATCCTGATCTAACAAAGTTTTCAAGATCTGGTGAATCATTGACAAACAAATTACGAAGAACCATTTTGTCCCTAATTATTGGTTTTGCATTCTGGAACGATGCAAATGATAACTGGGTAAAAGTCGAGTAGAAAACATCAATAACAGCATAAATTGAGGCATGATCAACCAACAGTTAGAAACACAAATAAATCATAAAATTTTCCAATCCTTAACTAATCATCGCACAACATATACTATGAACCATTCACAATTGCTCAAGCACTAGGTTGCTTTCTGATCATCTCACAGGTAACCAAAGATGCCTAAAAGCTTTTAGGTTTAAAAAGATCATCCTTTTCCATAGTTAGGTGCACCTAAAAAGAATATACATTATTCTATGCCATTACCCAAGAAACAGATAACAAAGAGATTCAAAGCTTCAAATTCATTTCCTTCGAAGCTTTGCAGCAAATAAACAGAAGTATACTTGTTTCTGATCAAAATTTCTTATTATTTAATAGGATACATAAAAAATAACATAATAAAGTGAGAGAGTGAGGAACTTTACCTAGCATGAATGATCTTGACACTGGGTTTCATATTTGGTTTCGACCAATTGTAGGCAAACGAACCCGTAATACCACTGAGCCATAGACATCCTTTCACAAAAAAAAATCAAGTAAAAAAAAAATCTCCACATCACAAAATCAAGAGAAGGATCAAAAGAAAAAAACTCCGATCCATTACAGAATTAAGCACTGAACAAATTTACAAAGAACCCCTTTTTAAACCACACCATCAAATCAAAAATCCATATGAACCCATGTCACAGATTTTAAACAAAAGGAAACAGCTTTGATCCAATTGGAAACAAAGCACCGAAGGAAATTTAAAAAGAAACCCTTTTCAAACCACGCAATCAAATCAAGAAACCATATCACAAAAATTCAGAAAAGAAACAATAAAAAGGAAAGGCAAAAGGCAATTAATTACCAACAGCTCTAAGCTTATGCTCAACAACCCATTCCCTGATAGATTCCACTTTGGTCTTAGCATCAGCCATTTTCACGGGAGAATCTTGTGTCCGAGAGAAAGTGTTTATTTTTATGTTTCGTTTTTGTTGTGAGGCGATTTTATAAATAGCAGGCGAGAGAGGGAGGAAGACAGCAGAGGAAGCAAAAGAGAAATTGTAGACCGCTTTGGGAGAAACAGTGGGCAAGCAAAGATTAAAAGAGGTATTTTTGTTATTACTGTTGTAGATTGTAGCAGTTTTTTTTTTATTGTTATTCTTAAACTTTTATTTTTGTATGATTTAATATTTTTTTAAAGTTTAAAATATATATATATATATATATATATATATATATATATATTTTAAATAAAATATTGAATTAAAAAACAAAAAACTTAAGTGAGAAACTGAAATAAAAAACACCATTAGAATACGTGATGAGATTGAAATTTAATTTCAAAGTTTATTTTTATTTTTATTTTTTTGAGCCATGAAGTAACCAATTCATGTAATTTTTAAAAATTTAATTTTAATACTAACTTTTATTTTTTATTTTTCTTTCATTTTTTATATGTAAAAAGTTAAAAGATTTTGCATATTCAATTTTTTTTATTATGTTTTGATATTATAGATTAATTCTTTACTCTTATGATTTCTGATTTTTTTAATTCTTTTATAAAGTTTCATTGTTTTTAATTTAAACTTCAATCAAAATTTATTTTTATTGTTTTTTATCTTTATTTTTTTATTTTTTATTAATATTTTTATTTTTTTCAATTTAACTCTTGAATTAAAAATTTGTTGTTGCCTTTAGATATTATTTTTATGTGATTTTAACCCTTATTTTTATGTTTTTTTTATTATTTTTTTTTGTAATCTTGTTGTGTAATTTTAATCTTATAATTTTTTTATATATATAATATTTTTGGTCTAATAATCTAAGTCTCAGTTTGAAAAAATTAACAGCAATTAAAATGTTTTTTTATCTTATTTTTTTCTTTTAGAATCTTCATTTGACATTGTTTCTCAGTTTTTAGTTTTTTGGTTGTTGCCTATTGTTTTTGTCATATTAATCAAAATTTAACAAGGTTATTGAATTTCTCTTACTTTTCTGTAAACATAAACATCTATTGAACCTTTGTTTTTAGTTAAAAAAAAAAAAATTCCATCCGAAATATTGCACAAGCCACCAATCTGGTAAGTAAAGATACAGCACGTAGAGGTGCCAGAGGCTATAATATTGTATTACAATTGTTTTGTGACAAGTGAAAATCATATTCATATTCCAAGGTATCCTTCGTTTTCATGGCCATATCATGTTTTTTAAAAAAAATTATTTTTTATGGTTTTAAAATATTTTGATATATTAATATCAAAAATAAATTAAAAAATTTATTTTAATACATTTTAAAAAAAATCATTATTTCAATATCAAACACCATCTAATTTACCATGAGTCAATTTAATGAATTATTCAAATTATCCTAAGTTATAAAAACATATTTAATATCAAGTTAATTTCAATTTATATATATATTTCACTTAACAGCATGTTTGCTTACATTTTAAATCCTAATCTCGTACAAGCTATAATAATACTGTTTTTTTTTAATTTCTTTTGCATTCAATAATTCATCTCTCAGTTATTATAACAAGACATATACTTTTAATTCTTTTAACCACAACTAAAAATATCTTTTTAAAATAAAAAATTTTTAAATTATAATTGTGGAGTTCACCACAATGTCAAACATTGATCACAAATGATATCATTTTTTAAAAATAAATTACTATTATTTTATATTAAAAAATAAAAT